AGTTTTTCTTTATAATCCATACGAATAAACCATACCTCCTGCGAGGAAAGCACGTTTTCTTCTGTAACCATTTGCAATTCTTTCATTGATCTTGAAATGAGATGACCAAATAAGATCTCTTGCTTTAAACTTATAAGGGGTGGTTCTCTCATCAAGGAGATCCTGGACTTGTTCAAGACTGGGCGCTAATTGTTCACCTTTGGCAGAAATACCGTGTGTTGAACTATTCTGGTTCACTCCAGTTTTTTCGTATGACTCCAAGTTACCGAATACACGGAATACATGAGAATCATCATCATTATGAACCATGGGTCTAATTCTAACCAAACCAAGCACCTCTATAATATCATTAGTTTTCCTTCATTAACCAATATACGAATATGATCTTACTATTTCCAGAACTGAACGCATTCATCTTGCGCGAAAATTCTTCTATATTATCACCATCGAGTGATACATCAGCAATGAGAAATCTTGTTTTGATGGCCACACCTTCATAGGTCCATTTAGGATTTTCTTTTCTCACTCTTGAGTGCGATCCATCTGCTCCAACAATATACTTTGCTGTAATAGTATATTCTTCACCGGTTTTGTTGTTCTTCACAATGGCTGTAACACCTTGATCATCCTGAGTATAGGTTACCAACTCTGATTCCCATTGAACACGACAATCTGTCTCCTTCTCCATTCTTTTATGTATAATATGTTCTGTCTTTCCCTGCATAAGACCAACCATATATGGGAATGATGTATCACCGCCAGCACTAATTTCTCCAAGCTATACATATAATTTAATAAATAATAATAACAATAATAAGGCTGTCCACTTACCACTGAACCATTTCGAATCATACGCATACCATTTGTAATAAAGGCCTCTCTTAAAACTTCCGAAGCCAAACCTTTACCGTCAAGAATCTCCATTGTGCGTGAAGTGATGAGAAGAGCACGACTTTGATTAGTTGGTCCTGGCTTGGGATCCATAATGGCAACGGAATGACCCTTCTTGGCAAGGTCATAAGCGAGTAAAAGGCCAACGGGGCCAGCACCACTAACAATAACGTCCACAGTTTCTGATGTCATTTTTTTTTTTTGTTTGCTTTCAATAAGTATATTTGTGTAATGAAGAGAAAAGTGAAAGAAAGAAAGGTCCCTTTTTATTTCTTTATGCAAATATAAACAAAGGGTAAATTCTGACCGAAAACGGTGGCTGGTATTTTCCGAAATTATACAGCTTTTTAAATTACATAATTGGACTATTTATACTAAACAAGGTTGTTACATACAACTGAATTCTCTTTCTTGATCTACAAGCTACTATTGATTATGTTTAGTAGAATGTCATTTAACAATGATAAAGTTCTCTACCTCTCTCTCTCTCTCTCTCCAGTTTATATTTCCTATACTCTGTGTTTTCAATTTTTTTCGGCGCCTCTAAGCATCTCGGCGCCTATGAGCTATATTTTTATGTGTTTTTTCGGCACCCTCATGCATATCTGTGTAACCTCTTTTTTTTTAGCCTTGAACTGAATGATTTCATCTTGATACTTCACTCTTGATTTGTATTATAATAATACTATTGTTTTTAATCTTTAAAATCATATTTACTATTGAATGTATGCAGTGAAAATAATATGAAATAATGTTACCAAACTCGTATTTGCGCGCAAAAAGTATGGCAATTTGAAGCAAATGTAATACAAATCAAACTCTTTAATTTATTTAGTGTTTGGTTGACCTTGTTTTAGCTCGGTCGATCGCTATTACTTTTATAGAGAGTGAGCAACTTAAGTTATAATGGCTCTTCCACACCCTTCTATATTAGCTATGAGGTAGGATTAAACAAGTCTTGAGTAATAGTGTTGATCTACACGATACTAACAATAAAGTAGATAATATTAGTTGATGACTTTTACTTTTTAGAATAAACAGTATCTTCGTAATAACCAATTGTTGTCAGAAAAGACAATGGATGAAAGACTGGAACAGCATGAACCAACCAATCAAATTGTACTTTTAAATGGATTGCTAAGCCAAATATTTCTTGTACAGTGAGAACGGTAAATTTTGTCACTTTGAGAAA